CTGAGGGCAGGATGACAGCATCTAATGCTCCCCCTGAAATGACTGCTCTGATCTCAGTTTGGGTTACTTAATCCTGAGGTGGATTTTACGACATTGCATAAAAATACAAAGTCTAAATGGAATAATTTTTACAATTCCTGGGAGTGAAGAGGAACAAACATTCTAAGAAGCACAGAAGTAAAAGCTTTCTGTGAAGCATAAAATACAAAGCCCAGCAGAAAATGAGCAAAATAAATGCCAGTTGTCCATTAAATTCTCGAAAGAGAAGAGCTTAATGACTTCCCTTTTAAACTCCTGGGCTTGGGGAAAACTGCAAAGGAACCTTCAGAGTCAGCGTTCCCTCTTTTGTGCATTTTGGCAATTGCATCTTGCTAAGGAAGATAAATTTTCTCTCAGAGTTTGGGTTTTATGAAACAAAAATTTTATGACCAAAAATCACTCAGTGAAAAGTTTCTTTTGGTTCAGAAGAGTTTCTGGGTTTGTGTGTTCAGGTTATAGTTGGTCAGTGCCAAAGCAGATGGTCCAAATGGTTTTTGGATCGCTGGTTTATAACTCCATTTTGGGGGTCTGAATTTTCATCTCAATTTAGAAATGGAAAGACTAAACTTCCAAAGCTCTGGCAAGATATGAAAACTCTTTCTTTCCCATCTGTAGCTGGAGAGAATCTTATTCCAGCAATAAAGATATTCTTAGCATAGCATAAATAAAAGTAAGAGAAGAAGAAATAAGCCATTTTACTCTGTCTTCAACACTTCAGCTTTGGATTCATTTTATCCAACAATAAATATTAAGGTAAAAATCCTTAATTCTGTTTTCCATTATGAAGCAGAAAATGTCTATATACAGAAATGAATGAAAATATAAAGTCAGCTTAAGGATAAATAGAAAGGATAAACTGCCTGTCATCATTACTCCTCTTAAATGATCTTTCCTGTCTCCATTTATGGAACTGATGTGTAGGTTTTGCAAGAGCTGTCCAGCTCTGAGAGAAATTAGTCTGTTGACATAGAGCTCCAATAATAGCAAGTCCTTGACAAATAATTGTGTACTTTGCTCAATACAGCACTGAGGGTCTTTTCTAGGAAAATTCACTTTGCAGTAGTAAGATCTTTTTTCCTTTGAAACACTGCTGTACATATGAGGGATAAACACCAGAGGCTTTATCTTCTTTGCCTGTAAATCAGACTCAATCTGGGAGTCACTAGAACTGTGTGGATTCTCTCCAGCTGAGAAAATAGCTCCATTTTCATTTCCAATCCTTCAGCTTTTGCAGGCTGTGTGCAGCAGCCTGTTCCCTGCTTGATTCCCAGATTGTGTCTTCTGTCCTGAACAAACTCAAGCCATCATCCCAATGAGCTGTGGTCTCAGGCCCTGTGGGGACAAATGGACAATTAAAATCCCATCTGATTATGCAGTGAAAATTGATCTGCAGATTAGACCTCTCTGAGCGCTGCTAAAAGGTCATGTTGAGCTAAGTGTTTTTCTGAAATGGAGTGGTTTTTGGAAAAGAAATCACTAAAAGTGAACACACTGAAATGTGCTTCTAGTAGGCAAAACCAAAAATAAGTATTTTGATGTGACCGCATTTTGATCGTTTGCCTTGGAATTTTTTGCTTGCTAAGCTCTGCATTTTAGGGCTTATCCTGTTCAAGTCTTGAAGATCTCTCAGAGAAACCTTAGTAGAGACAAAATGTTGGTGCCTCAAAACATTTTTTAAGCTTTCACAGATGACAATGTCACAGAACCTCGGTAGATACAGCCACATTCACTCAGCTGAAGCTCAGGGGGGATGTCATGGACAACCTGGAGATCACTGGGTGATTTGTGTGGGCAGCTGGTTCAAGTCCAAGCCACTCATTTAAAATATGTCAAATGAACCACTGTTGAAAAGTTTCCCTTTCTCTTCGCTGAGTATAAATAGACCCTGGGATAACCAGCTGCTTAGAAATAATTTAAAATTAAATTATGTCAATCTAACTCATCTCCTTATGCTCGTCTTATCCTCATCATGTGATGGAATTGCTTTATAGGGAGGATCAAGTCATTTGGGTGTTCTCTTAGGTACCTAATCTAGAATGGGGAAAGAATTAGCTACTCCTTTTCCTGAAGAAGCCCGTGGGATGAAGCCAACACCAGGAGCTGTGTGTGTAACAAGGCTGGACCTGTGTCCTGTCCTGATGCAGTGACAGCTGTGGAGAGAAGACTTATGAGAAAGTGGAAAACCAAGCCTTGAAATAGCTGCATACATTATTCATGGATTCCAGACAGAGTTGTGAATTGTTTTTCTAACTTTATGCATTAAAAAAAGACCACAGGATTCTCCTGACTCACGATCCTCTGCATCCCAGCCATCATCTCTTGGGCATATATATGAAACTCATTTTTCCAGTACCTTCCATCCAGGATACTCTACTTCCACTTGTCCCATTTACCAGCCTTTTAAAAAAACCCAGTTCTCTGGTTTACAGGGAAAGGCAGCCTTGTAGAAGAAGACTACAAATATTAATGGAAGAAGCAGAGTGACAGTCCCTCTGAAATGCAGACTGGACATCACTGAGTACTCCCCAAGTGGATTTTAGTGTTTGCCTTCAGGCCCACAGGCTTGAACACTGCCCAGGTGACTAAGGATGTGTGGCATATTCCATGTAAAAATTAAGAAGAGGACTCAGTTTCAGTGTTGCTGTTCCCTTCTCCTAGAAAATATAATTGTAAATAATGTCCCTATCAGGGTTTCTTCTGACACCTGGGCAGCTTGTTAAAAGTAAGAACTGATGTATTTGCCTTCCTGTTGCTTTTGTAGAGAGTTGAGGTCTCTTACCAGCACTTTGTCACAGGTGCCAGTGCCACCCATAGTCTTCAGCTGTGCAGGAGAGCCTCGAGTGCTGCTCAGGTCTTGGCTTGGGCAGCTGAACTGGGAGAATGAAAAATTGATTTACATAGAACAAGAGTGTTTCTAGTGAAGTAACACCCAAAGTTTTCAGCTGGCAATTATCCTCCTGGTCTGATGAATCACACTTCTGCAGTTTAATTTCAGAAAAGGTCAAAATCCCTAATTTTCTGATGCAGTCTGTGGCAATTTGAATTTCCAGTTCAAATGGAATGATGCTGTCACATCAAAGCAGGACTCAGGAAACTTGAAATGCCTTCTCCAGTCCAGTTCATCATGTTAATCCCATGTGATTAATCTTACTTGCTCTTGCTTAGGACTCTATAATTCAATCTGGCACTTTTCCATTACGATTCCAAAAGTGTCAAGTTTCAGATTGGTGCCTTTTTTGCATCTTCAGTAGAAGTTACCCAAACATGGCTCTGAGCTGGTGAAGAACCTCAAGAGTTGACAGCAGAATTTCAGAGACAAAAGATCTCTGTGGATGAGAGACACTCTCATCCACCTCCCCCTGAGCCTGGACATTTCAGGGACTGCCTGAATATTTCTCTTTCTGTAACTGAGAAACAGAGCAGTCACCAGTGTGAGGAGTTTAAAATTCAAGTCAAAACAGGGATATGAAGCTGTTTTTGTGAGCCAGTCGACTTCAAGCTCTTAATATGACAAAAAAACAATTCTAACAAGAGCAAATATACCAACTGCACTGTTTTATTTATTCCTTGTACTCCCCAGGGCCCTGCTCTGCTAAGAAAATAATTTCCAAAAATGTCACATTCATGCCTAGAGCAGCGTTTCTGTGTCTCACGTAGTAAGTGCTTGATGCACACAATTCTCAATGCTGCCAGCCTCCCAGTGTCTGTTTGGATGCTTATTGCACCATTTGTCATAAACAGTGTTACAGGAACCACAGGGAATGAATGGTCTGATGGATGCCAAGGTACCCTGATCATTGAAATGCACCGCTTAGCACGGGGGGGGGGGGGGAAAAGGAGCATATTCTGAGAAAACCTTTAAATTGGCAGCTCTGATGCAGTGTTTGTAAACAGTTGGAAGTGAATCACAGATCTGTTCCATTCATAGGCTGCAAAATGCCAGGAGTCCTGGGACCCTGGGAATGGGTGTGAGGTGAATACCTTCTCATGGGCTTGGGTTGGGACCTCAGCAGTCCTGAGGGGACAGCTCTGTGGTTCTGACAGCCTGCATCACTGATAGCTTGGAAACAGATCAGTGTGTTATAAGCTACTCTGTGTGTTGAAAGCCACTCAAAACTTGCTCCTAAGTGCCAAAACCTTCCACTGACCACAGTCCACAAATCAGAACCTTCTCTTCAATTTGTTTTTTTTTTCCCTTTTCTGTTTACACTGACAGGAAACTCACGTAAGAAACTCCCTAACAGATGCTACAACAACGGTAATTAGAGCAAATCTCAATTCTCAGGGGTGAGGCCATAACACAAATAATAATTACCCAGCTCAGCAGATTAGAAAGGGAAGTGGTAAATCCATCATTTTATCTTTAAAGACAGAGCAAAAAAGGAGGCACTCTACAGGTATGATTCATCTGCTCTGTTTTAAAGGTCTCTTGTGGAGTGCAACATATACAAATACAAAGGGAGTCTGGTGGTGACTGTTTCACATTTAGCTCTCTGCAGTGCAGCCTTGTACTTGGGGAGTCTGACCCCACCATTTCAGCCTCCTGTTGAATGGGAGAATGGGTTCAAACACCTCCCAGATCATCACAGCACAGTGCTGCCCAACACTCTGTGCAGGGAGCCTTGGATGAGCCCGGCAAAGAGCCAAAAATCTCACCCTTAGTTCCTCGTTGCGCCCAGGAAAGGAGAAAAGGAAATAAAAATAAATTCCTTGCTCAAACTTTTAATTTTGTACTCCACTTTCATTGCTGTTTTGGAAACATTAACAGCTGTTGGATGTTTTCTGTATAATCTGGTATTTCTAGTAAAATTCTGGGTCTGTTGCAATCAATGGTAAAACCAAGAGGCTGTTTTCAGTCAGACTGGAAGTGTAAAATGGGCCCTTTAGGGTGTATCACAACCCTTAAGCCATTATTTGACTCACTGGTCTTGTTTTTTTCTCTCTCTTCCTTTTATTTCCAGATAAATTTTGTATTTCTATTTAACATAGTTAGGATTTTAATGACAAAGCTGAGAGCTTCAACCACTTCAGAGACAATACAATACAGGTAAGTGAGCTGGTGCTTCTTGCTGTTCTGGTGTTAACAAAGCGCTGCCTTGCTTGTCCTGTCCTTGTCCCATCTTTGTCTTTCCAGGTGCCACTGCTGATGGAGCTCCTACATTGGGCACACAGTGCTTATTTTTGCAGGCTCTCCATAAAATTTTGCCTGCATTTGTTCTGTCCACTCCATTTCAATGTCCAGTCATCACAAACAGCCTTGGTTTACAGGCACAGAGATGTGCACAGCCACAGCCACCACTCTCTTAGCCCTCCAGACTTGCACATGGCCCAACACACACGTGAAATTCCCCCCTTTCAATGAAATCTGAAAGATTTGATCTCATGTGAGGGCAGGAACTTTATCAATTTCTATATGTGCACAAGCATGTGCCATCTAGAGTAATGCATCCAGCTCTGGGGTCCCAGCACAGGAAGGACAGGGACCTGTTGGAGCGAGGCCAGAGGAGGCACCAAGATGATTATAACAATGGAATACCTCTCCTATCAGGAAGGCTAAGAAAATTGGGATTGTTCAGCCTGGAGAAGGCTTTAGGGTGACCTAACTGTGACCTTCCAGCACCTGAAGGGAGCCCAGAAGAAAGACAGAAAGAGAATATATATTTATTTTCAGACTAAACAGTCTAAAAGCAAATTCTCAGAGGCCAAGAGATGCTGAGCACCCTCTTCTTACCATTTGCATGTAGTGACAGGACAAGGGGGAATGGCTTCAAACTGAAAGTAGGTTTGGATTGGATATTAGGAAGAAATTCTTTCCTATGAGGGTGTAAGGCCCTGGCACAGGTTGCCCAGAGAAGCTGTGGCTGCCCCATCCCTGGAAGTGTTCCAGGCCAGGTTGGATGGGGCTTGGAGCAAACCAGGATAGCAGAAGATGTCCCTGCCCATGGCAGGGGGTTGGAACAAGATGGTTACATTCCCTTCCAACCCAAACCATTCTGGGATTCTGTGATTTTATGTTTAATGTGTGCAAACAGGCATCTAATGCTCTTTTTAAGTTGTAGGGGATGGGAATCACAGACCTGATCCTCAACTGATCATTACCTTAATTTGGGGGGGCATTCTCAGCTAAATCAGTTCCCATAACTGGCTGACTGTGCAACCTCACAAGCACTAGTGAGGCAGAAGGAAGGTGGCCTGGCCCCTTCAGGCACCAGTGTGGGCTGAGATCAGCCTAAACAGTCTAAAAGAAAATTCTCAGAGACAAGAGATGCTGAGCACCCTTTTCTTACCATTTCCACTATCTTTGGAGCATTTATGGACAGGCAGGTCCTTACACTAGGAAATAGCACAGGTTTTGTGGAATAAGATTGGTCTCAATCCTCTAAATCATTTCTGGATAAAATCTCAGTGTACTGAGCTGAGTGGAATCTTGATGTCCTCCCATCAGTCTGCTCTTGACCTGAGAGGCAGTTTTGCTGCAGTAATGAGTTTTTGTTGTTTTGCCTGATTCCTTCCTTTTACTCCAGTCTGGGTTTTTGGGACAAAGGGGAAGTTAGTGCAGTTGGTCTGATGTTCTTGTTCAGACCCTTCTCTGAGAATTTCCTGAGAAAAAAAGGGGAAAATACCCCATTTTCCTGCTCAGACCTCATGCCATAAAATTAAAACTAGCCTGAAAAAGCCCTGATTCAAATATCAGTATATTTCTATCCCCTCTGCAGTTTTCAGGGAGCATTAGGAATACTAGAATCTGAGGCAATCTGAAGTAACTGCCTTTGTTCTCAATCAGATGACGGGATCTTGTCCTCAGGACAGGCTCTGTGAGGGAATTGTCTTTCTCACAGCCTAAATAGAAACCCCTAGAATTCCAGCAAAGCCTGGGGCAAGCCTTGATGCTCTAAAGCCAAGCAGTCCAAACATTTGTTAAGCAGATATTAAACGATGTGGCAGCTGCTTTTAGACTGTCACTCTGCAGTGTTACTGTGCTCCCCTGTCTGTCTTTATCTACCTGCTATGGCATTATAAAGAGATTTATACAGACTTGGCAAAGCTGAAGTCTTTGTGTTTGTACAGAATCTATTACAGCTCTTCTCAGCCAACACCCCAAGACACTATTCTAGTACCAATAATAAGGATTAACCCCTATTAATTCTGTTAATAATCATTTATGCTTTGTTGTACACCACCTGCTTGTTTGTTATTTCTAAGCAGTTGAGTTTAGTGTGCAGGTGTTGCAGAGAGAGGGGGAGAAAGGGTTAACATTCCAAAGAGAATCAAACAGGAATAGGGAATAGAGCAGGTCTGTTGGGCACAGAATTCCTGCCCTGGCCAGCAGCTAAATTGTGCACTGATAACATCACCCTGAGGTACAGGAAATCACCCAACAAACCTGCAGAGAGTCTCCAGGCTTCAGCCTGTTGCAAGACTTATTGCTAGGAGAGGAGCTGAAGGGAAAAGAGAGAAAAAGGGAGGGATATAAATAACGTTCCCATTCATCCCCTGGGGTTCAGAGTGTGGGCACAAACAGCAGGATTCAAAGGCAAAACCTTTCCCAGAACATGTTTCTCTAAGTGGACAGGCACTGGTCAGAAAGGGGAGGCTGTCACTCCTTCCATGCTCCTCCTTCCCACCCCACCACACTTGTCCTTCCTTGTGTTCACTCCCGTGTTGTTTCCTGCCCACAGGAAGGCAGTCAAAGCCACCTTAGTCCTCCTGCCTCTGCTGGGCATCACCTACATGCTTTTCTTTGTCAACCCTGGCGAAGATGACATTTCCCAGATCGTTTTCATCTATTTCAATTCCTTCCTGCAGTCTTTTCAGGTAAGAGAGCAAATTTACAGCTGGCATCAGCTGCTGCCAAAGGGATCCTCACGGCTTTTCAGCTGTGAATCTTATGGGAATGAAGTCTAGGATGGAAAAACGAGTTGAAAATAGCTCAGATTAGTTCACATATACACAACAGACATATAAATATGTCATATGGAGTGGAGATCTCCTTTCAGGTGTGTACTGGAGGAATTCATCCCCCTTAATATCAGCACTACGTTCAGTCTACAGCTACAGCTCCTCACCTGGGCTCCATCTAAAGTCAGTGGGGAGATGATATTTCATTTTAACTGCCTGAGAGAGGATGATGAATCACCCTCCCAGGGTACTGCTCTCTTCACAGTGGGTTGAGACAGATTAGGTGTTGTTAAAACAAAGGGAAACAACACCTACCTATTTGACTTGGGAGATGAAGACTTTGGCTGTACTGCCCAGCCTCTCACTCCAGCTGTCCTGCAATGGTGCATTCACTCAACCATCAGAACACATGTCCCATCTCCTCCCTTCCCTGAATTTAACAGGAGTTCTACCAGGATGTAAAAAGCAGTGGAATGTGAATAACTGCCCCAGCTTTCTGAATTTGGCACAAAACCAAAAGCAACTGAAGACCTTGGATGATCTTTAGCCCCACATTTCTGCCCAGTTGTGTCCTACAGCTTTACTTCTGCTTAAAGACCTTTCAGAACTAGGATGGAAACATGTTTGACATTGATATTTTACCTCCTTTGTGCAGGAACGAGCACCCTGATACCCAGGGGTGTCAATACAAACACACAGCTGTCAAGCCAAATCTAGGGTTATGGATTTATAAAAGTTATGAGGTTTGGGTTACTGTTTTTACTGATTACACATTTATCTGTGACACACAAGCAATCTCCCCAGAAATCACAACTGAATAACCAAAATGAAAAATGTCACTTTTAATCTGCGAAGAAAGGAACCTTAGCCTTTTACAGTGAACTAATCCACACGTTTCATTCCCTAAAATTGATTGTACTTTTCATCTGCTGACACTCAGTGTCTCAAAAAGTGCTGCACTGCTTGTTTTCTTGTTAGTGTTATGAAGATGTATGTAAGAAAGAAAGCACAGGGAATCTCTCCTTTATGGTGACAATAATTACAGTCCATTGCTAAAACCAAAAATGGGAAGGATTCCACTCACAGGAATTCTGATCTTTGCCGTCCTTACAGGGGTCTAGTCACTGCTGTCAATAAATTCCACAGAGCCCTTCAGCTCAGGGGAATTTAAGCAACCTGATGATAAACCTGCCCACACAAGACCATCTAAAGCCATTTGACACCCTCTCTGAGTGCCTGAGACACCCACACAGAGCTGTCAGACATGACATAGCACCTGTGAGGGGTCTGGGCCATTTTGGGAGGCAGCTGGATGCTGTAGATATGCTTTAGTGGCAATCCCCTCTATCAGTGGAAGTGTTAAAATATTTGCCTAATAATTGACTGCTTTCTGTTCTTTCCAGGGTTTCTTTGTGTCAGTATTTTACTGCTTCCTGAATGGTGAGGTAAGTAATTAATTCTTGGGAGGCAGAACTTACTTGAATGCCTGATTACAGAGACATGAGATGTTTTTATGTGGGGTCACAGTTCCATCAGTCTGTCGTAGAAGACTGTTACTGTGCACTTGAATTTCCCAGCCCTCTTTGTGAGTGTCCTTTGTTCTCAAAGCTCTATCAAATTTGGGTTATTACCTGAGAGGTCAGGGCAGAGGAAAAGAAGCCTTCTCAGATTACGAAATTTTTGTTCTTCGTTTTAAGACTTCTTTGAAGTTTCTCATTAATTAAAAATATGATTTCTGGGCATACCTAATTACCTCTGAGCTGGGCTCTTGCTAAGGATACGCTGCAGGTGACCTGTTTTTAAAATGGGATTGCCATGCTGAGCTGAGAGAGTTAGTTTTTCCGTGTGGATTTCTGTCTCTGAGTGATCAATGCCTGTTGCATTCAGAAAAGAGGGTTGGGGGCAGATTGACGGTGTTCCTCAGAATTAATTTTAGGTACAACCACTCAAGCAAGAAATGTTTCATTAATATCCAGTGTTTGACTTCCACCCCAAAGTGTGAAAGATTTATTTTTACCCCTATTTACATTGCCACTGTCTCATGTACCTGCATTTAAGTGTGTCATCTTTGTCCAGTTAAAATTTGTGTTTCTACAGAAATTATTTCCATGTCTTCATTATTCCTGCTCTATTGGTATATATATTTTGCTGTTGCTGGTTCTTAATATCATTGTGGGTTATGAGAAAGAATGGGCTTGGCTTCTTATCCTGCTGCTCTGCAACGTCTTCTGTACTTCAGACAATGAAGCACCAGTATTTTATTTTATTTTAGTGATTTCCCCTCTTCCTCATTAATTCTGAGGTGGTGTTAACAAGAAGTAGCACAGCTTTCTCAGGTTAGGCATGTGCCACTTTTATATGCTGGCAGCAGAGTGTTCTCAGTTCTCTTCCCAACTTTCCTTCCATAAATTCTCATCACTCCATTTTAAATAGAGGGTTTAAACCTTCCCCCAAAAGTGCAGGCAGCTTAACTGTAGAACCACAGTTACCACAAGCTGTGCCAGGGAGGTTTAGGTTGGACATTAGGAAAAGTTTCTTCCCCCAGAGGGTGGTTGGGCACTGACCAGGCTCCCCAGGGCAGTGGGCACAGCACCAAGGCTGACAGAGCTCAAGGAGGGTTTGGACAATGCTCTCAGGCACGTGGTGAGATTGTTGGATGTCCTGTGAAGGGCCAAGAATTGGACTCGATGATCCTTGTCAGCCCCTTCCAACTCAGAATATTCTATGATTCTCCAAACCTTGCCATATACCTGAGTTGTTTATGGCTGTGCTTATATTTTTGTGAGCTGCTGTGCTGCACCATCTGATAAGGTTTAAGGCACCAGAAGCCCCTTCAGTTCTACTTGTCACATTCATCAGGTTTACACTGTAAATGCAGAAGGAGAATCTCCCATGTAGACAGTAGGCCTTTTTTATGTCTTTTTTTTTTTTTTCACTGGTGTCACAGGGAACACGAGGGGCTGGAACCCAGGCTGTGATTTCATAACCCATCAGGACTTTCTATCAATCCAGTGCACTTCCATTTTGTGCACTTGGACTAGGATCAGCTGGCTGTTCCCACCAGGTTTTCAAGGGTTTTTTGGCTGTTCTGGCATTCTTTCAGCTGTCTTTAGTGGGAGAAATATCCCCTTCACTGCAGCAGGCTGAAGTTGTCTGTCCAAAGCCACGAGCCAACTTCCCGTCTCCTGTAACTTAAATGAGTTCAGACATAATCAAGCTTGTCAAAGGCAGGATGATTCGACTCATGTGCTTCTGTGCCTTGATCACAATCTACTAGCAGATCTGGAATGATTCCATAACTGATTTTCCAGCTATATCACTCTATTTTGGTGGGAATGGGCATTTCTGCAGGAGTCAGTCCAAGACACCCAACTTTGGTGACGTAGGTGGTCTTATTTCCCTAAACACAGATATCTAATAAGTTTGAGAGGCTGTAGACTATCTGAGGCATCCACGTGAGTCTTACCAAGTGATGCAGGGTCTAGAGAAGATTCACATCTGACTGGGAAGTGGGAAGCCTAGTGGGATATAATGGGGCTCACCAAATGGCTTTCCATATCACAAATTCAAGCCAGTAGATATAACCTTTTTGTCATCAACTTGGCCTGCAATAGACACCTCCCTCTGCTCACCTGAACTTTAGTCTTCACTGACAGTATGGACTATATCCACTTTTGCCTACACACTCTATTCACATGTAGACACCCAAAACCAGCTTAATTTGTGAGTGAAATCTTCCCTGCAGCCACATGTTTGCAATGTGCAACTCCTACTTGACTGACTAAACCATGGCAACCCTGTAACTACTTCTTTGAGGTGCAACGTTAAGTCCAAACCCTCCAAATATTGCAGCATTATCTGTTTCAAAACTGTGAAAGCACTTTGGGATGGGCTTAATGTAGCGTGGAAATGTTTATTTTTGAAGTATCATAAAGCTTTAAAGGGCGAAATTTCCTGCTCTGTTCCAGCCTCAGCTTTGCACAGCATATAAAAAAGTAGCAAATTCCATGAATTTTCAGAGCATCCTGAGTTGGTGATCATATTGTCCAGAAAACAAATTTGCATCTTACAGTACACTATTGTGAAAGCTCAGCTGCCCTCAGACAGGCATCTCTACTGGAAGTGGTGATGAAGGTAATGCCACCCAATCCCCACTAGGTACCAGATTTTGCTCTGAAAGAGGAAAATGACCTGTGAGGAGCAGCCTTTCAGTAGCCTGAAATCTGTGTAAATCACTGAAGCCTTGTTATTATCTCTTCAGTGAGATATTCCTGATATTCCTGTCTCTGTCATAGATGGGCTGATGACTTGCTATCTCAGAAGGTTTTAAATACTTGAAGTTTCCCAGTTATGACAGAGTTGGGTTCTTTAAATGCATGTAATAGTCTTTATCAGGTTACTCATTCCCAACAGTGCCAGGCCTGCTCTGAATGATGACACAGGGAAAAACACTAGAAAATCCATCAGTTTAAAGCTTTAATAATGCTGTCATCTCAGCTGCATCTCTACCATTCCATATTTGATACACGTGCCACTGGGTGCTTACAAACTGCCAATAACTGTCTGCAGCAGAGTTCAGAAATTATGGATTGCCTTCAAAAAACACATGTCCTTCATAAGAACTTCAATTAGTGCTTCGTGTCTGGGAGAGTGAATTACTCCAGCTTTTCTCAAAGGCAGACTTGGCCCTTCACAATTTATGTATTTCCTTTTGCTGTGGGACTAAAGCTGCTGCTTTTGATGGAGGACAGAGGAAACACCACTGTGGGTCTCCCCAGGTGTGAAGGAATGGCTGTAGAGATGTTCTACTCACTAGGTAGCCACAGAAAAAAATCCTGCATAACCTGGTTAGACTACTGGTTTGGGGTTCTTTTTCTTAGGCTCGGTGTGTCATTGTGCTGAGTTTTCTCAGCAGGACACAAGCATTTACAAGCCAGATCCTGCATGTGCTTTCTGTGTCTAGAAATCACAACTAAGGGCTGGAAGTAATTCTGAGAATGAAGGAGAATAACAGGACATAGAGGAACTCCTGTAGGAGCAGAGATGATGTTGTTTTTATTGAGGGACCCATGCAAAATTTCTTCCCTTTCAGGACTGGAATTGGGTGCAGCCTTTGCATAGTTGTGCTGGATTTTAATGTTCTCAGAATAAGGAGAAGCTACAATTAAACCCAGCCTTTCTTGAGGAAAGACAATTGTGCAATTAATTTATTGCCTGTATTTTTGAAGTGCACATACACATTGCAGTGTTTATTAAATGTTAAGAGACTATTTCCCAATCTGTTTGGTGTGAAAATCACTTGGTTTGGGTACAAGAGTAGCATTAACAGCAGTTACTGGAATCTGAGTAAATGGCAGAAATATTACTTAAGGCAGCATTTCGATAGAGTCACAGGAAACAGGATTATGTGTCATGACAAACCTGCATGAAGTAAAGAAAAAAGGAAAGAGGAAATAATGAGGAAAATTCTACTGGCTTCTGATAGCTTTATGTTGTACCTGTCAGTGAAGTTCCATAATATCTGAGCATCTCAGTCTATGTAGCTTCAAAACTTCTGTACAACTAAAATTGCGTTTAAAGGTCAAAATCAACTTCTTAAAAACACTCGGAATGTGAGAGTCCATTCCTAACAAGAGTTTGCCTACAGAGTTGGCAAGAGTTGGACTTGATGATCCTTACAGGTCCTTTCCTGAGAAGGTCCTCCCCGAGCCTCCTTTTCTCCAGCTGAGCCCCCTCAGCTGCTCCTCATCCGACCCTTCACCAGCTTTGTTGCCCTCCCCTCTTTCCAAGCCAGCACCTTACACACAAATTATTGCAGTGAACCTGGGGAGAAGAAGCAGTTTGGGTACAAACTTTACGGTTCTGTATGGGTTTTTTTGCATCTGAAAGGTTCTGAAGCTGTTTTGGACAAACTGTGTGTGCCAGGGATGGGCACGAGAGGCTGTTGGCACTTGCCTCGTTAATTTGTCTAGAGACTTTATGGAAAAATAGTTGTATTTTTTTGGACACAGACAAAATCTACAAGCACTGGAGGGCAAAACTATGCAAATTTCATTTAGTCCAAGTGGAAAAGATCATCTCAGGACTTCCAAGAAAATTGATGGTGAGAGGTTTCTGAGAATTTAAGATGTTATGAAAACAGGCATAATGAAAAATATGTATGCGTTTGTGTTGGATGCCACTTCAAAAGAATGAATTCATTCAAAAGAATGAATGTGATCTTCTTTTTCAATGACTGCAAAAATCAAGGTGCTCCTCAAAATTTTTTGTGTATCAACTCAGAGGTCACAAGATTGAATTTAGTTTCAGATAATGCTGGATTTAAAAATAAAAAAACTAAAAAAGAAGTTTAAGATGGAGTTTTTTACATCAAGGTTAGATAGAATTTAAAAAGCGTGTAGTCGTGGAACAAGGAGGAATGGCTTCAAACTGAAAGAGGGCAGAT